GCTGGTGAAGGGCCTGGAGAACAGACCTTGTGAGGAGCAACTGAGGGAGCTGGGTCTGTTCAGTTTGACCAAGAGGAGGCTGACGGGGGATCTCCTCATGCTCTACAATTACTTGAAAGGACATTGTAGGGAGGTTGGTGCTGGTCTCTTCTCACAGCAAATTAAAGACAGAACCAGGGGGAATGGTTGCAAGTTGCAAAAGGGCAGGTTTAGGCTGGACATGAGGAAGAAATTCTTCACAGAAAGAGTGGTCAGACCCTGGAACAGACTGCCTAGGGAGGGGGTTGAGTCGCCATCCCTGGATGTGTTCAAGTGTCGCTTAGATGTGGTGTTGGGTGATCTGGTTTAGGGGTGAACTTGTAGTGTAGGGTCAATGGTTGGACTCGATGATCCCAAGGGGCTTTTCCAACCTGAATTGTTCTAGGATTCTATGAGTCAAACGCAGGAGCATGAAGGACACCCCTCAGCGATGCTTTACTGGAAGGCACGACAACCATCGGCCGCATGGAGATGTTCATGGGTGCAAGATCTGGCTGGTGCTCTGCTGCTGGAGACGCGCAAACGCGCTCCTCCCTCTTCACTTTCCTCAAGAGAAAACCAGGAGGTTTCTGGGAAGTGATTCAGAGAGCAATTTTCTCCTCCACTCAAGCACCGGCCATGTTCTGCTCCGAGTCTGTGCCCCCTCCCTAAAGGTTTGTGAGTTATGAAGGATTTTCCAAACTGCCTCCCTTTATTTTCCATGGTACACTGCACTCCTGAACATCGCTCTGCAGAGCCAAGTCCCAGCGCTGGGACAGGAACACTATTTCACTTGGGCTTTTATTCAAAGTCAGGTGCATTTTTGCCTCTGGATTTCACAAAGGTTTTCATCTCCAAGACTGACGAGACAATTTCTTTAGATGTTTTATGAATCCCTCCTCTGCGGTTTCTCCCCTCCACATTAGACCTACTAAAAAAGAAATCGTGGTAATTTGACTCTGAGATGGCTGAGAGCTGGCCATAGCTATGCATGCTCTCTACATTAAATCACGGATCCTCGGAGAATCCATCACTTAAAACTACACAAAAGGTGAACCAAGGAGGTTTCTAGGAACATTAATATCTCCTGGACTTTTGCAAGAGCTGTAATTCACACAAGTTACAACCCAGTCATGACTATCTAATATCATTTATGATCCATCTCCTACCAGTGTCTTCTGGATTTTGTTTAGCCTATCGCCTATGTTGTCCATGGAAAAATAAAGAGCTTTTACTCTTTACCTGTTGGAGTAAGAGCCTTTTACCCTGGCAAATCTCGTGGTGGGAACTGGGCAAGCTACGGTCTCTGGTCCGTCTCCCTTTACCCAATCTGATAATGTTCAGGACATATTTTAAGTGGAAAAGAGAAAAAACATGAACAAGGTGTGCGTGAGGAAAATTCTGTGAATTAACCGGAGTGCAGAATCGCGACGAAAGGACGAAGCAGATGATAGAGCACATTTGGTAGAGATGTTTCTGGTTTCCCTCTGCCAACCTTATTTGTGGTGGATACGGCCCTGAGCCTCGTGCAAAGTCTGCAAAAAGCTGAATTCCCCAGGCAGTCCCCTTACTGAGTGCCTCAAAACGATGCGAGCATTTGTTCTTAGAAAACCTCGCAAGGTTCTGCAGGAAAATCACCCTGCCAGACCCCAAGGTACCCACCTTGGGGCACCCACAGATACCCCTAAACACTCGGTGGGCACCTACAGAAGACCTACAGAGCACTTACATGGGGGAAGACGATGCCCACGCTTTCCCTTCCGCAGAGCAATGCTTCCTCCAGGGAGGACCCAGAAGCAGAAATTAGGAATCGGAGTCTCCGTCCTGCCCCACGTCCCCACAGAGACCCCTAATTTCTGAGGGTGATTTTTAGAAATACCTTCTCTGCTCCGTGAGGGCACTGAAGTAACAGACGCAAAGCATTATTCTCCTCTGCATTATTAATAAACGTGGTTAAAGCCGAAGCCTGAGAAAAAGGGAGTGCCCTACTTTCAGAGAAATAAAAAGGGCTCGCTTTAATGAAGGAAGTTAAAACAAAACAACCGTCTCAGGAAGACAGAATGCCTGGGAGGGAACACGCACCAGGCTTAATGAAGACATTATTTATTTATTTATTTATTTTCAAAATTAGTGTGCCTCCTGCCTCTGCAGTAGAGTGATTTTAGGCACTAGGTTTTACATACTTGAAAGGATTTTTTTTATTATTTTCTAATAACACTGTCCTAAATAACCAAGCTTCTTGCAAGCGTTGGGGTTTGCAATGCTGGAGCTTTGCCGTGCTCTCGTAGCCTGCCTCAAGTCTTTCCCTCTAACAGATATGGAAAAATGCAACAGGAAAACCACAGAAGGCAGAAACTTGTGTTGTTTCAGTGACTCGGGATGGAAAGAAATTCATTCCCTTGCTTGATGTCAGGCTCCTCGGGCTGAGTTTTGCAAGCAATGCGGCGGCTGGCTGTTATCTTGGGAAGGGCTGCTTTGAAATGAAGAATTTATCATCCTTTTGGTGCCTGAACATCAGCAAATATTCACCAGATACCTGACACTGAGAGAGGGAGGACTCAAGACTGGTTCCAGTTGCCATTTTCCTTTCCTCTAGACTTCTCCAAGCTCCTCTCCATGTCTCCTAGGCT